CGTTCAAAGCTATTCTTGGGTCCAGACTTGTCCTTTTGAGACTGCAGCTGAGCTTACAATTCTCTGGAAGGGAAAAGCCAAAGTAAGCTCTTTAACTTAAACCCCAGCTTCTGATCCACAAGCTCTAGCCAGATTGGCCATGGGAAAGCTCAAGTATGATCTCAGTTCTGGGACTGGCTTTTCCAAAGTACAGCATGCATCCTCAAAGCTAGAGCTGAGCTACAGTCAGGCACAGCAAGGCACAGCAGGACTGGGGCAGAGTTTGCTGGGCTAGAGGGCTGCTGCACAGTATCCTAACACATGTACAGAGACAGATCTGCTCACTGATTAAATGGGAAATCTTGGACTTGATAATCAAAGTATAAATAGAATCAAAGTATAAATAAAATACTTAATATCCACGGATTTTATCATGGAAAAGATAAAATTCCAGAGGTCTGACTTGTTTTCACAGCATTGGAGCTTGTCAGTCCTAGTCACAGATAACTTCCCATCCAATTACTAAAACTCAAAGTAGGCCACAGGCCTCACATGATCCCAAAGTATCACTCTTTAAGACATACCCATTTTACTCCATAATGACAAACCTAAATCAATATGACTATATAAAGTGCTCTCTTATCAAGTTTGTCAGGAAAGAACTAGTCAATGCAATCAGTGGCACCCAGAGGAATTTTGCTTCACCCTACAGTAGGCACTTAACATTTGGTATCACACACAGACAGGCTCATGAGTCTCATGAGCCTGACTGTGAGAGAATTCCCCTCTTCCCTCACTGCTTTAAAAAGGGTAACTTTCAGGAAGCTTAGTGCAGAGAATTACAGTCAGACACACGCAGAACCCAACCCAGTCTCTGGAGCTCCACGTCCATTTTGCCGCTTCATTCCAGCCTACTTCCAGAAAGAGCAGAGAGCTTATTTCTCTTTTTTCTCTAACAGCCAAAATACCCTTAAGAGTTTGAAAAGCTAGATAAACAGATGGATCACAGGTCTCAGTTGTGTTCTTTGCCAGAACTGAGCTACTTTTGTGACATAGGATGAGGTTACCCTGCTCAGGAGGTGAGTATGGCAGACCATTTGTTTCCCCCATGAACAATTATCTGTTGAAGATGATAAACTGATGAAGTGCACATGACTTCCATTGTTTTAGAAAGCCAGATCTTCTCTTGTATACAGGACCTACTCTTTCAGGAATGGATTTCTGACTAACCTATTTGCAGTGACAGTCTGTCAAGGCAGAATGTGAGAACATCTCATTTTATTGATGAAGTAATTTCTACTTTGCAAAAGAAACAACACTCCTGACACTGGACAGCAAAGCCAGAAAGATCACAGAATTTCTCCTTCTTGCAGCCCTCAGTTTCTGAGGGGACCTAGATCAGAGGAGTATCTCCCTTCTCCGAGATTTTCCCTCCTGGCCCATTAAAGAGCAGAACAGTAAGCTGGAGATGAGGCAGGCATCAGCAGAGCCTGCATGTACAGACTGTTTTCCTGTCTGAAAAGGTGGATTGCAGGCAGTCACACAGAGCTCAGCCCACTGCTGCACAGCAGTGAGGGACCCCTCCTGGGCAGAGGCTATCCATGGCTTTTCTGTTTTCTCCTAGGTGCACCTTCAGCAAGCAGCAGGTCATCTGCAGTGCTTTGGAGGGTCCAACTGAAGGCTACACGGGGCTGCCACTCCTGAGGTGATGTGAGAGCCTCTGCACAATGAAGGACGTATCCAAGAGAACTCTCAAAAATATTTGGCATGGTCTAGGTCTTAATCAACTCCAGAATGGAAAAAACAGTACCAGTGAAATGTCTCTCAATGCCTACAAATACCTGAATTCAAGTTCAATTATAGCACGAAGAAGGGGAAAATAAAGAGCATGTTTGTTTTTTTTTTTTCCTCAGGCTCCAGAGCCAAGATCTGTGTGTTTTTGAAGTCATCCTGCAAGGAAGGAAAGAAAAGGCTGAAGCTGACTGTGACCTAAATAAAGCAAAAGAATTAGGTACTTGTGATCAAAGGATTGAATGATGCATATACACATCTCCCTAAATAATAGACTTGGTGTGGGAAATGACTTGTCATTATTCCTCTGAAATAAAGCAAATTACCTGCTCTGAAAAGAGGAGTTAATCTGGTTTTTATACAGTGAAGAATAATGCCACACTATTTCTTCTAAAATTAGCAGCTGACAAGCTGAGACTTCAGTGCACATAGCATCTGGCTCTCTGGCACCACACGGACTTACCAGAGTGAACCCTTCCTGTTCCATTTTATTAGGTTTGGTGGGCAATAGCCATTACCACAAAGAACATCCACTGAGCTCCAGAACAGCAGTAGGTTTAAAGTACCTCAGATCTGGTTTCTTTCTTGCTCTCTAGAGAAGCAAATGCAGAAAACCTGATGAAGATATTTAGAAAAAACTCAAGAACTTTGAATGGAGTCCAAGTCCTCTTTTCACCCATCTTTCCAACAAGCTGTATCTTTCATTAGTTGTCTTCCAAACAAGAAGCAAGCATGGGACAATCTCATCCTAAAATTCTGCATTTTGACATTTCCAGTATTTAAGACAGGCAGTGAAAAGTGAATTGCAAATGCTGAAGTCAGACTCAACCAAGTAAATAAGTTTTTTATTTTCTGTTCTCAAACTCTAAGGCTTCAGATGCTAAAGAACTGAGCTCATAACCATAGTAATGGCTGAACTATTTATCTTGAAAAGATAATGGCTATATTTTATCACATGAATGCATAGAAACAGTGTAGAGATTTCTTCTCTAAGCTGCTCTCCTGAGGAATCTCTCTCTTCTGTTCATGTTTAGACTGACAGTATGAAGGGCTCAGCATTCATAAAGATGCTTGGGAGATTGGAAACCTGAGAATTCATTTCCATCAAACGTGGGAGACCAAAATCACAGTGCTTATTTACCCCCTAGAGAATTTCCAGTTAAATAGCCTCTCAACGGAATAACCAAACTGTCCTAAATCTCCTTTATTGATGCACAGCCATAACCATATCCAAGTTATATGCAGAGAATTCTCCAGCAGCAGATTGCAAAGGAAATATAAGTTACACTTTCCCTCCCTTACACGTCTGAAGGAAGAGATTGGGTGATATTTCCTCTGTGTTTAGTATGTAAAACACCACTACTGTTGATGTTTTTTTCAGGCTGTGATGACAGAGAATAGGAAATATAACAAATCCAGTCACCAAACCCACATACTTGACCTCTTCTGTCACAGTTTTGGCCCAGGCAGTTCAAAGTGTAGGATGTTTTATGTTTGCACTTATCTTCTTTCACACAAATGAGGAACAAGTGACTTTCCTCTGTGCTGGGAGGACCAATTCAAACCACACTGCCTCTCTGCTCATTGTCCTGACTGCCAGGCTCCATGGCATCACACTGCTGTTTGGGGTTTTTTCCTTGAAGGATAGGAAATAGTGCTCTTGTCTAGAAAGAAAAGGATTTTGTAACAGTTGAAGAAGTCCTTGGGGAAAAAAGCAAGATCTTACTGAAAGAAGACGCTTCCTTAAGTGAGCCTGCTCTTTTCAGAAAGGCAGGTCAGCTCATGAGTGCTGGAGTCATAGGTCTGAGGGAGGCAAACACAAAGCCATGCCTTAAATTCCCCATATCCATAGGTTCTTGCATTGGATAAAGGCCATGTGTCACATCTGATCTAACAATGAATTCATGATAGTGCTCCAGGGTTGGGCATCAACTGGTCCTAAGCAAAGAAGACAAAGACTCAGGGGCAAAACCCATTTTCTTGAGGTTTCAGCAGCCCACAGAGAAACAAGCAGAGATGAGCTGGACTGACCCAGGGAGGCTTCTGAGGCAGCTCCTCCCTGTGAGCAGGCAAAGCTCTCTGGACACACTGCTCAAGGAGCACCAGCCAAGCAAAAGGGCTGTCTGTGTTTGAAGGCATTTTTTCAGACCACAGATAACCAAGGTAAACTTGTACTCCAGAAAAGCAGAATCTGAGCATCCAGCTCAACAGTTTCTATTTCTGCTTCCTGAGGCAGACCTTGTTACCCAGTTACAAAAAAACCCCAAAAAACCCCAAAACAACTGGCTGCATTTATCACTCTCTTTTCCCTGACAGTACCTTATATTTAGACAGATTTACCACCACCAACACCACCTTCTGAACCTACTTGAGCATTTTTCTTCTCTGAATGAGGCCTGGTAAAGTTCTACACTATCTTCTGCAGAAAATTACTCAGTTGTTGAACAATTCTTGATTCTTCATTGTAAAGAGCAAAAATTATGGTCAGTACTGCTCTGAGTTTTTCCTCTTCTATCTTTGTTCTAGTGCACAGACAACATCAGGCTAATGTACTGTTTTGCATTCAGTTTAAATGGTTCCACTGACCTGCAATCAGCATTCTGCAGTGCAGCAATGGCAGATCAGCAAGGCCCTGCCACTCTGTGTATCTGCTTATCAACAAGAGAGCCAAACAGCCAACAAACACCTCCATGAGTACACATGCCAGCATGATGTCAGCAGACAGAAAGAAAGAAAGACTGTCCACATCAAAGTATGCAAACCTCCTTTTTCAGTACATGGACCTAAGCTGCAACTTCTCCCTAAGCTTCACCTACAGCAGGGGGACTCAATTACCCTGACCAAACAACTGAGGGCAACTTTCCAACAATGCCTCTTTACAAAGCACAGAATTTATAACTTCCTTGAGAAAGCATTAAAAAAATGAATAAAGCACAATTTTAATTATATTCATAATGATTTATTTAAAAAAATGTTCCCATTAAACTGCTATCTAAGCACAACCCATTGTAAGTCAGAAGTAGTTTGGTTCCACCTGCATTTAAAGTGATTTTTGTAATTATTCACATCAGAACAGCCATTAATCACATAAACAATAGCTGGCTTGCAGAAAACACATGATAAGCAGCTATGTTATGACTTACTATTATTTTTATTATATTCTTTAACTTAGAATGCATTTTTTTATTAAAATTTAAAAAAAACCCCAAAAACAAAAGCATAAATCTTACCTTCAGATTGATGTGTGGCCAGAGGTGTCTGTGTCTCCTTGGAGTATGATACCACCTCCCGAGGTAAGAAATCAACCTGGGTAATCTTTGACACCCCTAGTTTGTGCAGTCTGCGTCTAAGGTGAAATACACAACATCAAAAGGTTAGTCATGGTAAATGCAAATCAGCAGCAGGAACACATGTTTGTTGTTATGGACAGGACAAAAATACTTCAGTGTTCGTAAAGGTGAAACACAACACAATATGCATGAGAAGTACCTCACTGCAGCGAAGAAAATCAACCTGGGAACCATTTGCTGTAATAAAGTCCAGTTGTTGAACCTCTAGACCATACTGCTGAGAGGGACTGCAAATGAGAGAAATGGCCTGCTTGTGTCCTTCTTAACATGCAACAAAATTCTCTTTCATACCATCATTACTATGATGTTCTGTCTGCTCAAAGGAGCTCATCCTCGGCCTGGGATACACAGCTGTGCAAAGAGTACAGTGGGTTTAAACCAGGATGAATTAAACTGCTAAATGTTCAGCTGGGAGCAGTAACAGAGTCTTTAACTGGCAAGGTGTGTAATTTCCATAAAGAAGGAGATTCTGCCTTCCACAGGAACAATAGTGGCCTTGAAGTAGGTTTATGATTACTGAAGTCCTAATGCAATGGCTGGAGGAGAGCTAAAACACAACTGGAGCAGGGCAAGTATAGCCTTCTATTTTGTCTACTTCCCTTGCTTTAAATAAACCATATGAAATAAATCAGTGAAGCTAACTGTAAGTGGGTAAGGGAAAAAGAAGAGAGGCAGCTGAGCATGCTCATGAGCACTTTTAGTTGTGCACAGTTCACTCAGCAGCAGGGGAAAAAATCAGTTTATTTCTTGAATATTAGTTGACTGTCTGCAGGGAATGAATAATATACAAACAGTTACTTGGAAGTGTTTACCAGAAAAAAGCCAACTTCCAGCAGAGAAATAATGCAAACAAAACCAAATGAACTAAATAAGGCCAGTAACCTAAATCAACAAGTATGAGCACGTTGTGCATTTATGGGGAAATAAATTCCTGGAAACAATGTTTGTCAACTTGCCACATTATTAAAGAGAACAATTTGGAAAAGTAGCAAATTCTTACATATTATCGATATCCACTTCATTTTCCAGGCTGTCAGAAGAACAGAAGTCATAGGGGTTTTGACCTAATTAATTTACAGTGGTTTAGGTATTCAATCAAGATTCATGTCTGAAAAGAAATGGGAGTCTAAAAAGGAAACCGTCATCACTGGATAACACCTACTGAACTTTTCAGCTGCATCAGCCACATTTTTTTTCAAATCCATTTTACTGTCTGGGTTGTTATTAAGCTGACTGCAATTAGATTCAGCAGGTAATCAGTACAAATCATATGTATTGTGTAACAAACCACCAGAGCAGAAACAGTTGTTGTAGCTCTGAGTCCTTCCACTTTTCAAAGAAGAAAAATTAACAAGTCTCCCTCCTTACAATCATCTCTGACACTGCCAATATGAACAAAATCTAGAATTGTCTAAAAACTCTACAGAAAAACTTCTACCTCATTACTGGGGCCAAGAAAGTTTCTTCAGCCGGCAAAAATTTTAGTAGTTTTGTATTTTGTAGCTGCTTTAACTTACGGTCTGTGTGAATTCAATCTTTAATAAATATCTCACCCCAGCAAACTCTCATGTGCTTTTTCCTCCCTCAGCACCAGATGTGCAGTCTCTGTTGCCTTCTTGGTCAGTTTGATTTCTCTATGTAACAAGTCCCCTGCTGCCCCAGGCTCTCCTTCCATTTACTGAGGTTCTTTGCATTGAAAGAGTCTCTTGACAGTGGTCTTGGTTAAGTATAATCCCTAATTAATTATGTGTATAATCTGGAACTAATTAGAACCTCACCCAATTCTAAAAGAGTTTCACATGAGGTCACGCTGTATCTTCTGGACTGCCTGAGGATGGGGAACATGACCCTAAAGGAGAGCTGGATTTAACTGCTAGCTGGGTGGATTGAACCTCTGCCCACTGTGTCCCACAAGTGAGCTACTTCCCATGGCACTGTGCTGAGACAGTGCATGGAATTCTTCATCTGAAACACTTTCAATTCAGTAACTGCTGGTCTCTACAAACGCCTTGTGCCACCCATATCCTGTAATTACTGGTGATGACTGGGAGGTCCTTCCACATCTGAAGGAATGTGATTTACTGATTGCTGTTTGTCTGCGTCAAGCCACCTCTAATTGTTCTCATGTTACTAAAAGTTGGCCTAGACTTTGCCCAAGCACTCAGGGACAACTGGAGCATCCTTTCAATACCTGGACTTTACCAAATATGTGCTGCAATGTTCTAGTCTCTAGTTCTTTTTAAGGCAACACTAAATGGTCTATTGTTTTTCCATCCCCATTTTTCATCTGAGGTGCTCATAATTCTCATAAATTCAATAAATATTCATCTTAGAGAACACATAAGCTTTGAAGGATTCCTTTCCAAACTGCTAATGGGATGTCAGTAGGAGGATAGTGACTAAAACCCATGCATTAAAACTGATTCTTCTGTCCATAGGTATCATACAAAAGATGTATCTGCTAGAAGTGTTTTGAGACACACATAATTTAATTGCTGACGGCAGGAGGAAAGTTTAACTCTGCCTGGGGTTTGAAGACAGTTTTCTTTCAAAAGGGACAGGACTCCCATTAAAATGTATACCCGTGGATTTGCTCTTTGGCCTGCTTCTTTTCTGTCTTTGCACTGGCAGCTACTAATTGATTGAAGACTCTACACACAGTTATCTTTAAATGAGTCAGATAAAGGAACTTGCTTTGCACAGCTGTTTCTCAAACAGCTCCTAGGAGTCCTCATATTTTAATTCAAATTTCTGTAAAAAAAGCAGCTGGGATTTCTATAAAGTTTCTGTGGGTTAAAATAGCTCAAAAAACTTTACCTTTTTGGTACAGCCCAGGTAAAGTTGTAGATGTGTGACCTATTTAAAGTCACACTCGTGTAAACTACAAACATTCCTAGTAGTTCTAGATATGGAGAAATATTTCTGTTTAGAAAACTCTCTGGATACGTTCCTTCTGGATCTTTCCTGATGAACAGACCTAACACACCTAACTGCAGCTGGGAGCACTGTCAATCAGTAGCCAAAGGGAGCTGTTGTTTTTCTTACAGAATGGTGAATGAAGTAACATAAACAAGTAAAAGCACAAGAGAGTTGCCTGGAGACTCAAAACAGGCAACCCTGTAAGCTCATTGGTAGAACAAATTTTTCAGAGTAGTGATTTGGTTTTACCTGAGACTCATGCTCTGAAGAACTTGAGGTACTGCTAGCCACCCTTTTAGAGGAACAGGTTATCCTAAATACCTCTGCAGGCAAGCATTGCTACATAATTTACACTATTTTTTTTCACTTGTTGGGCTAAAGAAGTTCCATCCCAAACTATAAAATATTAATTTTAGCTCTATTAAAATTTTTTAAAAGCTTAATAGGCCTGAACTTAACTAAGATGGCACTTAATCTTGGACTATGATCATACCTAAGTGTACAATTTTAAACACATACACAGCTCCAGAGGGAAAAGGGGACATTGTTACTGCATGTGGAAAGAGCGTAACTACAGCAAGCAGAAAGGAGGGGAAAAGTATCTTGCAAATGATTCAGAGAGAACAGTCTGAATCAACAGGTACAAACAAGATCAGTGTAACGATACATGCACATATATGCCACAATAATAACATTTCATCTGAAATGAAATAGTTATTTGTATTGTGTTCCGGGCAACAGAAATAGCAATTTATCTTTTCATAAGCATCTTTAAATAGCTGGGGATTTTTTTCCCACAAATATGACTTTGCTGAAGCTTCTTACTTATGAAACTAAAAAAAAAAAAAAAAAGGAAACTTAATTTATGGTCTTTTTGAGTCAAAAAAGCAAATGAAAATCACATACAACCAGCTCAACTAGGAAGCATTTTCAACATAATTATTGCAAAGAAATGATAACAAAAAGAGCTGACAAATACCCAAGTTCAGAGTCAGACTGGAGTTGCAGCACTGAGGGGTCTGTGTCCCATTGCAAGGTCCTAGGGTGGTAATCAGCCGTGCAGCACGAAGGGGAGGGAAAAAAAGAACACACAGAATTAACTGAAAGGATGAACAAAACCCCACCTCCTCAGTTACATGCTCTATGTAGTACATTCAACCTCAGGTGCAAGCAACAGCCACCATATGTCAAACAAGGTTTGTATGTCAACTGAGACAGGGCAGGCAATTTAATAAAATCACGTATTATTGATAAACAGAGGAAAGAAGCTGGATTTTCCATCACTTATTGATTAACTAAACACGGGGTTGGGGTTTTTTCCTTTTCCTGAAAAATTCTAACTCTTTAACTTAGGCTGATGGATTCGCAATAATTTGTAAAATCTGCAGGCACAATTTATTTATGTTTTTATGATAAGGTAGACTGAGCACTTGCCATGAACTGCACTGAAGAGTTTATCCATTCCCACATTCCTGAGACAGACAGCAATCCATCCTGTACAACACAGCTCTGGGCAGGAGCATCACGTAGTGCACATGACAACAAATGGACACTGATACCAGCTCTGACACTCTCTGAGGGCATCTGGGACAAACAAACAAACCTTTTCCTTTTCCTCCTGATACAATTCCTGGGGAAGAGGCTAATAATACATCTGAGAAAATCAGATCTATGACCATCTCTGAGATGAGGCTATCCCCAAATGTACAAACGTTCCAGAGGTGTGGTCTGAAGTGAAGATGTTGCTCTTTGCACTGCAGTGCAGTTTCCCATGTGACCAGCTCTAAAACACCTTGCAAACACTCACAGAGCCTTTAAAGAGTCTTGTGAAATACTCAGAATCCTTCAATTTAGAAATGCAAAAACTGACATATCAAGGCCAACATTTTCAAAAATGCCTGCTCCTTCTCTGTCTCTTAATTTTATTTTTCCACACTCAGGAAGCCACATCTTACATGCAAGAAAACTGCCAGAATCCATGACAGAATCAGGAACACACAATTGGCTCCTCAGCACCTTTTCCTGTAGTATGAATACTAGATTATGCACTGCTCTCACTAGCAGAGGCTAGAACAAAGAAAAGTGCTCCTTCCCTAAGCAAGCAAGTTTTCATGAAGACATGCTAGAAAATGATAGTTGTCAAAATTTAACTCCCCCACTCCACAATTTCTTCTGAATACAAATTTTGAGGATATAGAGATCATAATATTACCAGGTTCAGACAAAACTAGCCATATAATCAGCTGTGGTCAATATACACAAGTCTTTCTGCAACAAAAGCAACCTCTGCCAATGAATCACTCATATAAACTAACAAGTTTATATTAGTTCAGAAACAGATCTGTTAAAGCCAAATAATTATTCTACCTCCTGTCCTTAGTAAACTCACACAATCTATTACCAATGTTAACTCACTCTCTGGACAGACAGACAAGGGCATGTGCTGCACTCTTGTCATTTCAGAATGAAAAAGAATCAATCTCAACACCCTGTGCATACAAAAAGAATGAAAAACTATTTCATTTAATGCAAAGCTGATTTCTCATGCAATACAAGGGTACTAATTTCCCTCAACTTATGATCCACAGTAATATTTATCAGGATAAAAGACTTTATACTGATAAAGAAAGGCTTCTCCAAAACTAAACTGTATTACAAAAGGTCAGAGATAAAATCATACAGCAAGAAATAACAGATTTTTCCCTTGTAACTTGACTGCAATGTAAGTACAGTGGAAAATGGACATAAGATCTGAATGCCTGATGCAAGGCAAAGGCATCAATGACTAATGCATTATAGATACTCCATTAAAAATTCTATCTGCGTGAAGATTGCTCTTGTAATGTCACCAAGGTCAGTTGCATATATTAGAACTTGCAATATAAGTACCAGTTTCTAATTTTACTGCTGCCTAGGGGCTACTCATATGTTCATGTCCAGGTTTTCCAAACTCTTAAAAGAAAATACACATAACTCATTTCAGTTTCCTCCCCCCAACATTCACTTTCAAACCTACAGGATTTGTAGAGGAATAAAGGCTATTTCATCAGAAAAAACACTACTATCATGTGATTAAAACAAGAGCTTGCAACAGGTCTCTAGAAGTACAGTCCCTATGTTCCACCTCCAAGAATCCTGGCCAGGTCACAAGAGATAGCACCTTTACCGGGCACCTTGATAAAAATGCCAAAAAAAAAAAAAAAAAAAAAATTAGAGATCTCCCACACTCAAGACAGCACTTATGGTTTGGGCCATCACATGCAGACATGTATAGAGACACTCTTCCCTTAAGTATTTATTATCTGGATTCTCACACACGGCCTTTACCACTCTGGACACTGACACCTACTTTTAACAGCAATTCTCCTTGACTCCTAATTATATCTGTTTTCAACAGTTTTAATGCATCAGCTAAACATTTCCAAGATTTGTGCCCCACTGTGCATCCCTGTGTTACCATGTGCACAGGTGTGAGAAAGAGATGAGGAAGCAATCTGCTGAGTTGTCCTCTCCAGCTTGGCTGAGCAATGCTATCACAGAAAATGAGGCTGCAGGTAACAAATCTTCAGGTTTCAAGTCTCTTGTCCTGGGAGACAGAATACAAGCGGCTACACTCAGGTAGTAAAGGCTGGAGAGCACTGGGAGTGACCGTGTGTTTCAAGGAACACTATTGATTTGTTCTTTGTCTCTTCCAGGCACCTGAAGAATGTCATCAGATCAAAATGAAAGTGAGTGCACAGTAAAGATGTAATCTGGACCTGCAATTTAGCCAGTTTCCATGGCAATAACATCAAAAAAGAAAGAAATAGATTCTTTGAGGTTTAGCAACCCAAAAATGATGTTGAATAGCCTGTGCTGTCATCCTGACTAGAAAATTAAAGCTAATCTGTTTGCGATGAACAGACGTTGCGTACAACATTCCTGGATCATGTGGATGAGCACCGTAGTTACGCTTGTTCTCCTCTGGACACTCCTCACTGATTTTGAAATGCAACTGCATCTCAGCAGAAAAGCAGTTGCCAATCTTTTTCCAAACAGGTCATGAGTTTGTCCTCCAGACCCTTCTTCATGAGGAAAAGGACTAGGTGCTCTTGCTCTTCATTTTTCTTTCTTACTTCATAAAAAAAACCTGAAATGGCTTGACTTCAATTCACCAGAGACAGAGGCAGAGAAGGTAATGTCACAGACCCTGAGGACAAGTGCATGGCCCAGGAATCACCAATCAGGCTGAGGTGCTCCCACTCTGGACCTTTCAGAGAGCACAAATTGCTCAAGGGTCCCCTAAATGGATTCAAAGGACTTTGGCAAGGGTGTAGAAGAGATAAAAAACATTTTAGTTGAACATTTTTGTGGGGAAAAGAGAGGAGCATTAGACCAAGCAGGTAAAAGTAGTGCTCCCTAGCAGACTCCAGTCCTGCAGACTCCTCCCACAGGTAAAGGGAGTGACACAGGCATTGCAAGGACCCCTGGAAACCCACTGAACAGCACAGTCAGGGCTAAGCCAGATCAGTCTGTTTCTCGCACCCAGACAGCACTGACACTATTTTAATCAGAACTACCCAACATTGCTTCAGAGCTGGGTGCTGTTTCAGTCTCCCACGTGGTGGCAAACAATAGCCCTGTGTCATGGTGCATCCCCTTTGGACATGCTCTGTGCACAGCAGCTGACCCTGGCTCACTGAAGGATAAAAAGCTGTATTACTAAATAACAGATTGTTCTAAAGCAGCACAAAGGGAATGAGGGCTGTTAGATGGTGCACTAAGAAGACAAGGTACAAGCGTTATCAACTCTCTTTCAACTGATCTGCTTTCACTCTCTTCCTTTACATAGACATCTTAATAACCTATTTTTTCCTCAAATTTAGGACAGTACTAATGCTGGTGCTGTTTCAGCTCTAACCACTGAAGAAGTAACAGATAATTTTGACACATCCTCTTTTAATAACCTGAAGAAAGAAAACAACAAGAGGAAGAGGCCCAGATGTCATATATTTACTAAAGGATCGGATGGTAAAACATTTATTTTTTCTGAATTCAAGTCCAAAGCATTAGGAAGATATTCAGAGCACAGTTCTAAAAGATAACTGTTACAAAATTTAAGGTGGGAGGAATTTGAACAGAAGCATTCCCTTTTCTGCAGCATTATTATTATTATACCATGGAAAAACAGGCACTGCCATATGTTACAATGCTCTGTGTAACCTTACCTCCAGAAGATTTTATTCTGATTGCATAATGTCAACTATGTAGATTAAAAATGTGGAAAAGACTAAAACAAACTAAAATAAAACACTTGAAACCTTTTGGAAAATTCCCAACATCAGAATGCATTAATGAAGCATAGATTCTGACATCCAAAACTGTCTGGAATCCATGAGAACTCTTCAGCTGATTTAAGCAGCTTTGGGTCTGGCCTTAGCAGTAGTGTATGAAACACGTAAGGCATCAGTTCCAATACATATCCTTAGTAATCTGCCATCATAAAATTATATTTAGTATCTGTAATCACGATCATATCGCAACAGAACTTGGCTCTGGGAATGTGCCCCAGTCCAACACTTTTCATGTGCAACACACTGACAGCTTAGTTGTGACTCTGCTTCTCTGCAGCCAAAATCAAATCCTCCCTCATCTGTTGCTGATGCTGCAGAACATCTGTTCTGCATGATTTCTTTTCTCCCCCAACTCCCCTTTCCCAGGTCAAGAGCAGCCAGGCCTGGAAAATCCACGCTTTTGAAAAAAAAGACTCCTCACAGGAATAACAGCAAAGTCTGCTTTCTCAGGGGCTTCCCGCAGGGCAGAATCCTCTTTGCAGCATTGCAAATTACACCTTCAAGCAGAACTGGAGGAAAGCAAACACCATATTTGGCATCTCCTGTCACGAAGAGCTGCAGTGCTCTCCAGACCAGGAGAAAACTGCACTGACAGTGTACTGAGACCCGAGGTACCTCCTGAACTGAGATACCCACACGTGTCCCTAATGAAACACCATTAGAACTGACAGGCCCCAAACCAAGCATCTCCCCTCGCAGCAACAAC